CTAATAGTCAGCACATGTACATTTCGAAAGAGCGACACAAACTAGAGGATAGGCATTTACATGTTAACCGTTCGACTTTCCATCGAGTGTTTCTTGATTCCGGATTATGATGGAGTTTACAAGCAACGTTGATGAAAAAATGCCACTCTACTCGATACACATACATTACTTCCCCGAGGTTTTACCTCGTCTGTTTTACCGCGGTATTTTTTCAATTGCGATCGCACTCGTCTTTACCGCGGTGCTCCATATTTTCACCCGCGGTGGACGCGAGGTGGAAGCACGCGGCAAAGACGAGGTTTTACCGCAGCCTAATGGGTCCATAGTTTCAGGCGGTACTGTATTTTGAAAGGTTCCTTAAATAACTTAAATGATCAATAGTTTTTTTCCTATTTTTTTTTCTACAGTTGTATATACAAAGTACTTCAACTTAACCTGTTACATATATTTCCAATCACAAAAAGGTACATTTTTGGTTAGAGCTTCTTCTATAGTCCATCTCAACCCCCTCCCCCAATAAAAATGTGTAAATTGTTGGGCAAAATAAGCGAAGCACACTATAAAATTTTATCCCAATCAACAAGAACACTTTTACAGGGTAAAAATAATCTTCAAAAATCTTGCTGGCCAAAGTTGATTTTAAAATTAAACTATATTCTCATTCATCAGTATGCAAGACACTTGACTGTTATGAAGGCACTTCAAACTGGGCAGTGGCAACGCTGGAAAGAAAAAGCCTGGAGGTTACATGTTCTGATAAAGAAAAGATGCAATTAACAATATTATTGTCCCCAGAGGCCATGATTGTTTTGATAAGCACCAAGAATCACTGACCAAAAGGATTGCTGCCTCAAGGGACAAGAATGAATGCTGCAAGGCAGTTAGGAAAGGGGTATTTAAAGTGTTGCTCTCCAACATGGTGAGTGGCATGCATCAAGTGCTGAATCTGAAAAGATGTTCAACAAACATGAAAAGTCCAGGAAAACAGTGTAGCCGTAAAGGCTGGTTTTCACTAGAGCATAAGCACAAGCACAAGCATAACCATAAGCACAAGTGAAAAGAGCCGCGACATAAACATAAGCATAAGCAGAAACAAAAGAAGAACGAACCCACTCATTTGTCTCTTGCAGTTTTCACTAGTAACGCACTCCACATAAGCATAAGCAAAAGCACAAGAAAAACAGAACTGTTCGTTTTTCTTGTGCTTATGCTTATGCATAAGAGTGCCAAATTGTGGCCCAAAAATGCTATTACAAATAGTCAATATTTGAACTTGTATCCAGTTTGGACAGCAAAAAGGTCTTGGACAGATCTGTCTTTTTGATAGAGTAAAATCATACCTCCTACTATATGAGACTTTATACCTTTTAACTTTTCGTTTTACACTTTTAAGGTAAAGTTTATATCTTGCAATAACCCAAACATCAAGAGCTG